TGTTAAAATGTTGTCTACACCAGTCACAAGCAGGATGTCAGCATTTCATGAGCAACTCATGAGTCTCCTGTCACCAGCTGCATTTTAGTGCCACATTCAGATGCCTCTGAGAAGCTTAATTAAAATGTGATTGCTGTTTCTTGTGAAGTTGAACTTGGGCTGCGGGGCATGAATTTTGATAATGAATATTGGTTGTTTAAAGGCACAGTATGTACATTTCTCCCGCTAGGGGTCTCTCACATCAAAACAATTACAAAAGATGTAGTTTGATGATGTCATGAAGTAGCAGACGTTCAGGAGGTTTTTACTGGGAGGTCTCTCTCTAAATCAAACCGAACACTGAATAAAGCAGTTTCATGCTAAAAATTAGCATTTAGGCGATGCTGTTTGGTGGACACTGGACGCTGCAAGCCATAGCTGCCACTAACATTTTCTGAGCTTGTTTCTTAAGATACTTAGCTTAAGATACAGATATCGGATGACTATAATCTTTCATCGTCGTAGAAATGTGGCTAGACACTGGATAAAGACCAAATGAAACACACGTTACCTTCTCTGGATTTGAAAATTGCTGAAGACATTTGTGATAATGTAAATACATTTTAATGCAGAAAGGTTACAAATTATACCTTTAAAGGTTAACTGAAGGGCAACAGCCCTAAGCCGATCTGAAAATTGAGTAGGGAAGTTCTTTAAAGAAAAACATTTTTTACAACCCAATACAAAAGTTACAATTTTCACTTTAGGAAATGGTGCATCTGAAGTTTGCTTCCCTGTGTTGGCAAAATATGGAAAACATAAAGATTTCGAGAATAAATGGAGGATTTGTTATTACAGAAAGGGGTCGAAGGGGTATAATGCCATAGTGAATGTAAAGAGTTGAAACTCAAGAAGCTACACACCCTGTGAAGAAGCTGCACGGCCGGTGTAGATGGCTCAACAGGTGTTGTGAGTCTACTGATGAAAAAGTCTACGTCACAAACAGCTACTCTGACTTATTTACCATGTAGTCTTGCTCTATGTTATGCCTGCTGACTGCTGAGAGAAGCAGGAACTTTGTCTGTGGGCCTGAGGCAGCAGCGGCGGCGGCGGCCGGTCCTTCCCTCCCTTCCCCTCATCCATCGATCCATTGTGACTCTGCAGGAGCCAGATGAAAACCTCTCGCTATGATTTATGGGATGTCACCACCAGGGAAACGGGTGGTGCCTCTCTCCCTGCATTTGGTGTGGGAGCAAACCTGCCAGAGGCCAAAACCAGTTCCCCTGGGTCCTAAGGTCTGATATCCTATACCAACACAGGGACATGGAAACAAGCTGGGTTTATAGTAGACATTTTACATTATAGTGGTATTCCAGTGACCATCAATCTATTCTAATAGAGTAAGGAAAGCCAGGACCATCCTTCTTTGAATTTAGGTGGCCACATGTTTGCAGTAAATTATGTATTTAAACATATAAGGCACCAAAATCTGTCCTTTGTAACAATTTATAAATAATGTGTGTTAAACAATGTAAAAACCTAAAATTGATGAAGAAAGAACCAAGAAATATCATTCCCGGCTCTACAATATTCAAATATTGGAATTAATAAAATCTAAAAGCACTAAAATCCTATTAGGTTAAGCTTCTGTTAATCAGATGGTAACAAGTGTAAATTTGTATTATTACTGTAAGATGAGTTGTGTTTCCTTTCTTCTTTCTTTGCTCCCAAAGTATTATAAATTCCGAAACATATTTATTCATGAGTGCCATGGAACCAGTGAAAAAAATGACAACACGTGGCTAGCTTAGCAACTTACTAAGTACTTAAGTATTAATTAAGAAGCCATGAGTAACCACCAAATGTTATTTGTTTATCTATGAACAAACACACATGGTCATGTCAGAGTGTCCCACTTTCCCTCATTTGCAATGATGGCAGCATTAAGAAGTAATTCTGACGGCTTAATCCACTTAAAATTAGAGGAGGTTTTTAAGGATTCTGTCTTAAGGGTGTCCTAAAAAAAGGATACAAGTAAAAGGCCTGAGGAGACTCTGAGAGATGCAACATTCATGTTTTAAAAGTAAGAAGAATAGAAGTGTAATAAACGGCACGGCAAGAGAGGGATGGGTGTGTATACTGAGTGTGTGTCACTCTGTGAGCTTATTCAACTTTGTGTTTAGTTGTGTGACAATGACTTGAGCTGACAGTCCCCATGGACAGCGAGCTGTAGCTGATTTCTGATCTACTGCCCAAAAGCTTTCTCCTCCTCTTACTTTTCTTCCTCCACTCTCCTCTTCTCTCTCCATCCATCTCCTGCTTTCCCTCCTCCCCTCATTTCGTATCATCTCCTGTCTGCTTTTCTTGTTTCCTCTCTTCTCTTTGCCTCCCCTCCCCCTCCCTCCCCTCACCAGCAGCGCATGTAAAAAAAGAAAAAAGAGGACTGAAAATCAATGTAGGAGGAGAAGCAGAGGAAAAGGGGAGCAAAGAGAAAGACAACCCCAGGGCTGTTGGAGGAGTGCTGAGGCAAGCAATGTCACGCCTCACTTGACCACCATAAATATACCAGCAATGATGATGAGAGATAAAAAAAAGTTATAGTAAGAGTATATTTTTATCCAAATTATACATATTTGCAATTTATTTAATTCATGAAACATCTGCCCACACCCTAATGGATAAAGTGAAGTATTATGCAGACAATTTTGGGTGTAATGCTGTTTTATGTTGATGAATTAAGGACACTATTAGAAGGTACTTCACTGCAGTGCACTGCACATCAATGGGCCAACTTGTAAGCGAGTGGGAGCGTGTGTGTATGTCTCCCCATTATATGGCACTTGCATTTCCACCAAATCGTACATCTCAGAAAACAGGGGGGAAAAAACATGCCGCGTGACACTGTGAAATGACTCTAGACCTGATGTATAGTGTTCTATATGTGCCCGAAGACCTATAAGTGGCAATGACGGCCTGTCAAGGGCTGAGGCGGCAGTGTTGGAGTGGAGAGGCGGAAGGAAGGGTGTTGAGCTGTGAAGGGCTAAAAGAAAAAAAAAATCCAGTCAAGTGATGGAAGTGCTGAAAGGAAGACCGAAATGTGTTAGAGTGAAGAAAATGTTCAGAATGGAAATTGGTGCGTCATCGCTACACTGACATACACACTAACGTGTACAAATAGACAGTAAGAGAGACATACATCCAAACAGTAAAGCACGCACAAATGAAAATTTTCCAAGCACATGATGGAGGATTCTTTCCTTGTTAAATATTTATGTTTAAACTTGCTTTCTGAAGACCTCCAGTTGTTTGAGGTCAAACCCAGAGCATGTTAAAAAACATTTTCGGCGAGACTCGCCAAGCATGATTCTTCCAGCCTTTCCTCTGTGAAAGGTGTTGGCTTTGTGCAGCTTATATTAGAGATGTAGACATGAAAAGACAAATGTGAAACATGTCTTACAATACCCTAGGCAAGGAGAGTGAGAGAGAGAAAGAGAGAGAGAGAGAGAGAGAGAGAGGGCTGATGGAAGTCTCTACTCTTCATATCACACCTGCCGACAAAATGGAAATATATCTCTTTTATTTCTCACACTCCAAATAGTGCCTGGACAGACAAAAACGTCTGCAGAAAGATCTGAGTTGAGAGAAGAGGGTTCTTGACGGTAAAAAAAAGTAAGAAAAGTCAAATGTCACCTAATCCTTTTCTCATAAAGCACCTGGAAACTGCTTCAGTCCTGGCCTTTGTTCTCTTGCTTTATAACACCTTTAATGGGACATAAAGTAAAACCAGGGAAGGGTAATTGAAAAATTCTTTGGCCCTCAATGGAATATTTTGTGTGTGTGTGTATATCCATATATTTATATTAACTAATTTCACAATCTATTATCTATAAGAAGCATATGCAATATTTATTTAGTCGTGCATGAACCTAGAAAAGAATGACTATTCGCAAGAGTTTTCCAGACATTTTTAGGCTCCTCTCCCTTTTTTGGCTCCTTATTGACCGTTCACTAAACCCCCCTTCCTGAACAGTGATTCATTGCTTTGCCACCGTAACTAGGCACGGCAGGCCTGTCAAGCTTGTGATTTCTCCGCATTCTGAAGCACTGTACACTGGGGCTGTAGTAATGGCGATACTCCATATAAAGAGCGTGGATGGTGGTTTCTTTCTTTATTTTTTACCCCTTACAAAACTGAGAGTACAAGGGCAAAGGTGTAGGGGAGTGGATTAAACTGAGTCTTTGTCTGCTCCAACATGAGCTGCAGTTGTTAGCAGGTCTGGCTAACTAGCACATTAGCGTAACTGTAGTAGTTGAAGCGGCAGCAAGTGTTACTTGCAAGGCCAGTACTAATTTTATACTACATTATTTTGTGGGGTTAAAGGCCACATTGAAAAAGACTCTTTCACAAATATAGCACTTCTGATGTGTAGTATTTCTCCACTGTGTGTGAGTCAGTCAGACATACATGGATGCTACTATACCTGTGTAGGCTAACATTAGCCTCTCCGTCCTGCTCTTGAATTTAAAGATTACACCCCAGCCAAACCGAGCCTCTACCAGAGAGTTTGTTCGCCAAACTTAGTCCTCATTATTACTGCCATTTCTCTTTTTTTGTTTATTAAAAGTCAAACATATTTGAAATTTTGAAAATATGAAAAATAAAGACTACTATGCTAAATATAACTTCTGCCTTGTTTGCTTGTCCAGGTATGTAATCTAAGCAGCTAAGCAAGGTTTAGTGAGAATGAGATAAGTCTGACCTTACATTTTACTCCACACTTAAATCTCTAGGACTGGCTTCTAGGGTTGTTACTTTTTTTCTATGTCTTCTACATGGATCATCAGCTGGTGAAGATGCTGAGTTTGTGCCTTAGGTATGTAGCTTGACAGGCATAGCAACACTAACTAAGGGGGCAGGACTTAGTGAACAGTCAATTATCTATTCGCTGTTTTCACTGTTGCCCACTACATCCCTCATGCCCCAGCCTCCACCGACCCTTCATTTAATACTGTCCACTCACCATCTTCCGTGGGCACGTAGATATTGAGGTAGAGGCAGTCCTCACTCTGGTTCTGGATATAACCCGCCGCCACGTCTAGGTTGTCTGTGAACCACACGGGCAGCATAATCTCCGGGAGCACGCCATGGACGTTCTGAGGGCACACAGGGGCAAACTGGGTGGCGTTGCGGATCTCTTGCCAGGATCCCGGGGCTTCGGGCGGCTGAAATCGCCGGTCACCGATGGGTGCTGTGGCATATGGTACGCCTAGGTACTGCTCTACAGGCCCCAGGATCTCATTGTTTAAGTCCTTCTTGATGCCTCTGAGCTTGCCGTAGTTGGTAGTAACAATGGGGTGTTTGGAAGGGTCTATCTTCTGGCTCGAGGCCAGGCTGAAGAGCAGGATGAGGCCTAGGACCCCCATTAGGCAGCAGTCTGTCATGAGACTAAGGGGGCGTGGCCTGGGCAACAAACCCAGCCGATTTTGTTTACTAAGAGCAGGTGGAAGGGGGTACATGACTGGATTCATACTGTTCAGCCACCTGCCAGCACTCTGTCTTGGAATACTTCTGTCTTTTTATGAGAGGATGTGGATAATAACCAACTGTTTGGAAGGTAAAGTGTAAAAGGAGGATTAAAACAAAAAAAACAGGCAGACCCTGAAAGACTAAAAAGAGCTTTCTTGGAGGTGTGATCAAGACCAGGAGCGCTGAGTGAAGGTGGGATGTCGGGCAAAGCAGCTGTTGGGGGAAAAAAGGGTCCTTGAGGTGCTGGATGGTAAGGAGGTCGGACCTCGGTGTGGGTGCCAGGTCAGTGTTGATTCAGAGCATTGGCAATCCGAAAAGTTTCCCCAGCCATGGTTCTGTTGCGTTCCATCCCGATTGGTCTTCTACTATCCAGATCATTTGATTCGAAAAGCCTCTTGAATTCTGCAGAATGAGACAAAGGAAGAGGAGGGAGGAGATTTAAAGGACAGTGATACAAAGAGAGAAAAACATAAAGAGATACAAGGAGGTGGGGGGAGAGAGATTATCTGAAACAGAAATATATTCCATTAAATATTGTCAGTGCAACATTTTCCCTTCAACTGTTGCCAAGAAAAAATATCCCCTGAAATGAAAGCAGTGGAAATAAAACGACCCTCAACAGACAGTATTGTTGAGATCACATCAATAGGTGTTATTTTGGGGAATATTTCACGTGGTGATCACTTGATTACAGGATGAACAACGCAGTTCCCCAGCATGTAGAGGTACTGCAAAAAAATGCAATCCTTGTGATCACATTTTACTTACTCTGGCTTTTACAACATAATCTGACCTGCAGAAATCCCATGTACACTCCATGTTGAGGGCACATTGCTACATGCCTCTCCCTATCTGTTATGAATGAAAACCCTAAATTGGACTTGTTCACCCTGTCCTGGTCTGACCTGTACGGGAACGTGCACCAAATCCTTCCTTGCGAACTGTGTTTAACCTGCCAGCTTACCCCTAACATGCTCACATCTCTGCTAATGCAGCGCAGCTGATGTATTGTCACTGCTACATCAAGTCTTCCTCTAACAACACTGCTATTGATGCCTCAATATTTATGGTTATTAATATCTTAAAGGCTTCACTGCTGGATCTGGAGCTCAAAAGTACAGTAGACAGCATAGGCGAAGAGTAGAGGCTAGAGATTAGGGCAAGCCTTTCCCCGCCCAGTCAGGTCACAGGTCAGTAATGTGTGCCTGTAAGCAGCTTATAACAGCCTGGGACACTTTGGGGCTACATACAGAGCACAAAGACACACATGATGCACACAGTAAGCCTTAAATGACCCAACACATGAATGAGTACCCCCGCACTGTACTGTCATTCATGTAATCTACTGCGCAAATGTGCAAATCCTCATGTAACAGACCCAGTCAGAAATGCATCAGGCATGGAGGAGATTATACAGCCGTAACATTGTTGGGTGGTGTTATGAAATGGTAGGGGACACTAACCTTAGGAGTAATGAAGACTGTACAGGCAAAACAGAGAAATTTATTTCATGTATACACACGCACACACTCTATTTCAGTCTTATCTGATTTCTAAAATTCGCCTCTTTCTCTATCTCACTCTCTTGCTTTATCACCATGCCATAATTATCCCAATTAAAGTCATCATTAACCGTATTATTGCATCGCCTGCACCCACTGAAGCGCCTCTTGTGTTTTTGTTGTCCTTTTTCCACACCCTCTCCCACTGCCAATAAAGCCATGTACATTAGAAAGTATGGGAGTTAAAGTGTCCCGAGGCAAGACGGCAGATAATTAGACGATATAGGCTGATGAGCAGGCGAGCGGTCTCACTCACACTGATGTAAGACATACAAATAAGGAGGCTCACTCATGTAATGATAAAGTTTCTTATCTACAACAAGCTCTTTGAGGAGAGGATATACTCCAGCTTGTAGGGAAGAGCTGTGGTGAAAACACATTTGTGTTCTTTCAGAGAGCGCTAATTGCGAGCGAGTCCGCGGCATCTGTAATCGCTCAGGCTTCTTTTGGTACAGTGCGTTCAGCCTAAATGTATTGGCGCCTGCCTTTGTTCCTCTCAGTGTGGACTTTGTTGTTCTGCCCACGCGCCCATGTGTGTGCATCTGGGAGTGTATCCCCTCACAGAGAGGCAGGCAGCACGATGTGTGCTCTAATTGAACCGTGGAGAGTCTGGAGGCCGGCCTGCTTTGCGGTGCACGCAGGGACGAGCCCTCCACCCACACACACACACACACACACACACACACACACATCACACCATTAAACTTTCATCCTCCAAAACACATAAAAGAGACTGGGAGATAGAGAGGCAAAGATGAAGTGAGAATGTGAAAACAGGAGCAGGGGAGAGTAAGAGACAAATGAGAGATGGGAGGTGAGAATGCAGATGGAGAGGAAACAGGTCCTGGTGTTAATAAAAAGCTTCTCTCTGGACAGCAGAGACCCTTGAGTAAAAGCGCCATGAGGCGCTGCTTCACTGACCCCGGAGTCTGTGAGAGAAGTGGACATCTAATAGACCCACATTCAAAAGCCCAGGGAAGGTGCCAACTGGACTCCTCTTAACCTAAACTTGCACCTCAAGTCCGGGCAGGCAGAGAGGCCAGCCCAGTCCCACACATGCCAGAATCCCTGGTAATAATCCAAGGCCCTGGCAGGCGTAAGTGTGCCTGGAGGGACCTCCAGAATTTCGGGGTGCATCTGAGTGTTTAATTGCTAATTGGCTCAATTAGAGGGCCTAATAGGTCCAGCTTTGCTGTGAGCAGTGGGAGAGCTTAGGTGATTGATGAAGCGGAGAGGGAGAGACGAAGGAGGGGTGGGGACTGGTGGGAGGAGAGCTGAGCATGGCAACAGAGCCATATAGGAGATATGTGTGGGAGAGTGTGTGGTATTTGTAGTGCAGGTCACACACACAATCACACTTACCAACACAGATTTCCAGGTATAGGTTTTCCCAAAATATTGTATCCATCATACACACACTCATTCATGATTCATGATTCAGAGAAGGACGGGGTCCACACAGGTCCTTCTGTGGCAGACCATCAGTACAAACCTCATCTCATCTCTGCACCGTCCTTCATCTCCCACCCTCCCTCACATTTTAAATTTTTTTGCTCACCTGAATGTGCACTGGCAAAATATATAGGGAGGACGATGCAATATAAAAAGGCTGCATTGTTACAGGGCCTGGATCATTGAGGATGAGCGGAAAAAGATGCAAAACAATGTTTTCCATGACTAAACATTATTTAAATTGGGTACAAACCAGGCCTTTAGCATTTACACACTTTTATCCACAGCAAAGAGGTGTGGATAAAAGTGCTCCAGGACTCTGACACTGTTTATGGTCACAGGACTCAAACTGCATGGCTAAACGGAGACCACAGGCTGTGGGCCAAAACCAGCCTGTCAGACATTTCAATCTGACCCACAAATGTGTAATGATGATATAACTGTGTTGCTTAATTTGTTGATCTGAAATGTCTCCTGCCTGTTAACTAATTCCAATGGATGGCCAGTAATGTTATTATTATTAGGTCCACAGCTAAGCTATGCCAATGTCACCATTGCTCAATATCCATGCTGCTGCAAAAAGAAAACGATTGCTGTGGAAAAGAGAAAGTCGACAGTGAATGCTCAGCATAAAAGACAGAACGGACAGCTAAATACTCCTCACTACGGTGGAGAGGAAAACAGAACGACTGATCCGTCAGGCGTCAGTTGAAGAGTACAACATCAAACACCATTTTCTCAGCACCTACGCTAACAGGACTGTCTTAAAAGTAAAAGGAAAATACGGCGGCTTAATGTCTAAAGACTTTGCAAGCTAAGCAAAACAATGCATGCTTACAAAGCACTATAAGATTTCAGGAGCAGATAAACAACTCAAGTCTGATATTTTCACTCACGCGATGCCAACTCACAGAAAGCGTTCATTAAAATGAAAAAAGGTCCATTAGAGGGACACTTCAAAATGATGGAGGGTGGAGGAGAAATAGTTCTGGAGCCCACTACTCAATTAACTGCGGCTTTTGTTATACCGGAGGAACTCATCTCGTCTGAGGTAATTGTGCAGGGCTAGATTTATTTGACACAGTTTGGAAAAAGTGAATTCTCTGTGGGTAATCTCACAACAATTGGGTCACCAAACCTATTAGAGGGATATCACCTCTTGATGAAAACACAGAGGAAAAGACGGCCAAAGTGATTTCTCTTTACAGTGGCATTGATCACCAAGAGCTGCGAGGAGGTGTGTTGAAGTTTCGCCATGTTGTGAAGGTGTTTGTGACACGCACATATGAATTCAATAACAATCCACTTTGCAGTGATAAAATCCAATACAAGAGCACAAGCTATGACTTAAAAACATCTAGTCAACAGTCCCAGCAAAAATGAACTGGTATAAGCTGTAGAATTTACTGCTCGGATACTTGCATTACATTACACTTAGCAGGTGTTGTTATTATTATGTCTTATTCCTTGTGTATATGCGCGAACAATTTCCTCCCTCATTAAGTCTCACCAGAGATCATATTCCACAAGTTCTTACTTGTCCTTTATGCTGCGGATCACTACTTCAAAACTGATGCCAGACTTTGATGTTGTTGCCATGAGGGGGAGAGCTGCTTCACTGCTCACATTAAGGCGAGAATTACATAAAGTGCTTATGATTTCATGTTTTCAACAGCAAGCCTACTTTGTTATCTTTAATTGCTGTGCGGAGTGTTCGATACCACTTTAATGTGCAGTGACAGACGCTTCCTCCAATTAACCTGCCATTAATCTTCCATATGAAGGTCACGTCTCTCCTCATGGTGATTTAAGTGTGAACTGCACCTCATTTGGAAGGAAATATGCATTATTCCTTTATGTTTCTAAAGGCTGAGTGCAGATTTGGATTAGATGAGGTTGTGTAATTGACTCGTATGCATCAAAAAGGAAATGGTGATTTGCGGAACATAGTTTGATGCTTGAGCCTTTAATATTCTACTATACTCATCTATGTTTTATATTCAGCTCTTTTGCTTGACTTCACAAGGACATGATTCATGAGTTCCAGTACCAATATTAAACCGGCCGCAGCCTTCTTTGTCATTTAACAAAAGAAGTAGAAGAAATGTTGCCTAAACATAGTAGAAATACATGAAAGAATGCCTAAATAGTAGTACTATAATAGTGGCACTGGCAAAAGTACGAAATAACTGTAGAGCTGATCTGCTCTTAGCAAGACATATAATTTATATAGCAACAGAGTAGCTTACACGCCAGTACTGCAATACACAAACTGACACAATATTTTTATACAAAGAAAGGAATAACTTAATGTACTACATTTGCCAAATTTACAAGAGGTGACAAATAATAATGAATTTGTCGAGTTTGTTGAGTTAGAGTTATATG